TTCCCTGCCTTTGCAAGTGCCATCATTGTTCTCTCTGTCTCCTTTGCCCATCAGCTAGTTTAGGAAGCTGCCTTCTATTTTCTGTGCATCTGGTTGTGCCTAGAATGAAGATTTGAAACAGTAGCAATTCTGGCCCAAGGAATTGGGGTTGGGTGGATGGGTCTGTAAGATGAAAGTGTGCTGTGGTGGGATACTGTGGGATTCCCTGGCCTCAGTGCCTCAGATTGTTCTAACAGTGTTAGATACAAAGACTGGGCATTCTTGAAGGAAAAGGATAGAAAAAAAAATGGATTTTAGATTCTCATTTCTCTATTCTGGAGGCTAGGAGAGGTAACATCTCAGGAGCCTGCTTTTACTTTTAGAAACCTTTTATTTTTAGTCCTAAAGTAGTTTTTACTTCAGGGCTAACTTTAGGTAAAATGCTTAAGTGGTCATCCAATTTTTGGAAATATCTTCCATTAAGACACAATGTCATATACGACCAGTGGAACTCCATATCATGCACAACTGCAAAAATGGGATTCTAATTAGAATAAGTTATGCTCCATGTATGTATTATAACATGTTACAATACACTCTACTGTCATGTGCATCTAAAAAAAACAAATTAAAAAAACAAAACACAATGTCTTTTAAACATTATTATTTTAGAAGTAAGTATACTTCTTAAAAGAGCAACCACTTAAATACTTTAGGTTTTTAGGACTTTAGGTTTCTGAAAAACCTCTAGACTTGGAAGTGTCATGGAAAAATGCCCTGAATGACAGCAACAACATGATGATAATAGTAACAAAAGTCCTTTAAGAATTCAGAAGTAAATATTTAGAAGAGAGAGAGAGAAAAAAAAAAAGCCAAATTATATCTTGACATTATTATTTTTATTCTCTTATTATAATAAGTAAAAGGCATTTGGTGATATATCCCCTTCCATTTTTAAATCACAGCAAAGTAATGCAAAGAAAAAGAATGTCAAGCACCCTACCTTTGCATTTCAACCACCAAGGTCCTAGCCTAAAATAAAAATTTAATTTGAGACTAATATAGCAGGAACAAATTGCACAGCAGAAACTAAATTTAATTTCTGGTTTTCACTTCTGTTCCTGTTGGCTGGGACCTTTTGAGTTTCAAAAGTCAGTTATCTAATACTTTTGTCTTTTGCATTCTGTAGCATAATCCCTTTCCCAAGGCACGAGGATGAGATGCATTGGGTCAAAGGAACTTAACTGGGGACAGTGCTTCATAGATTGATGTCAAAACATATTTCATCAGAGAAACAATGATAGCCCTGGTGATGCTCAGTGCATCTTGGCTAATTTCAAGGTTCAGCTTATGTACTGTGATACACTCTGACCACACTTGCAGTAAAATTTGATGGCAGAAGTGTATGCTTGAGTAAGAATTTTCTTGCATGGCACATTCATAGGTCCTGAATGTTGACGTGACCCTCCTCTAGCCTAATAGTAAAATGGTAGTGGATCCATGTTTGGGGCTCTTTTTGATGACTCTACAATTTCACTTCCCTCGAATTATATGATATTGTCAAAAGAGCAACTGAGTTTGACTACACAGGTACTGTATATTTTCAATAAATATAACTTCAGAACTGATAAATGTATCTGATGATATCAAATTATTTCCATTCGTAACTTAATGTGAAGATCATTCCAATGAAGAAGGATCAGAACATGGAGAACATTTGAACAACTTCTGTCATAATGCTACCTGAGTCCATCTATGAACCCAGGTCATTGTTTCAGAA